ATTAATGTTAAATAATAATAATAATAATAATAACAATAATAATAATAATAATAATAATAATAATAATAATAATAATAATAATAATAATAATTTCAGTATTAATTACCTTTGGCCTAAGCCTTGTAATGAAGAACCTACAGATACTGTATTATTTACTAGGCCTATAAATAATAATCGCCCAAGGGGAATATCTTTTGTGTTATTTCCCCTTAACGTCGTTTTTTTAATTGTTCTCTAATTCCTCCATTGTCTAAGTTGCCTTTAAGGTACAGGTAATAATAATAATTAATAATAATAATCATTTCAACATTAATTACCTTGGCCTAAGGTTTGTAATAAAGAACATACAGATACTATTTACTAGGCCTATAAATAATAACTAGCCCAAGGGGAATATCTTTTGTGTTATTTCCCCTTTGTCTAAGTTCCCCTTAACGTACAGGTAATAATAATAATTATTATTATTATCATTTCGCCATTACATGTAATTAACTTGGTCTAGCCTTTTAATCAAGAACCTGCCGATTACTATGCCTAATATTAATAACTAGCTCATTTTTACATTCATTTGGTGTTTTGCCATTTTGGCAGGTCTTATGGCATCCAGAATTTTAGAGCTGCCTATTCTCAGCTCTTCTCTTAATTTGAAAATAACTGTCATTCTGTTTCATTTGATCAGATGAAGAAAAACGCGTTTCTTACTCTTTGTGCTTTTCCCAGAAAGTATTTTTAGTAGGCCTACTTGTAGGCCTAGGTAATTATGCAAAACCCAGGCCTAACTAAAAAATTAAAATTGTCATAGTATGTAACTCAAGTTAAAATAACACTTTTCATTACTCGTGCAGCTTAATCAATTTTAAACGACCAATGTATTTTACGACCCATTGGTATTAACATGGTAACATAATGTATTTTTAAAAATTAGACAGCGACGTTCTCTCAGAAGTTGTTCTGTAGACGTTTATCTGTTGATGACCTTTTGACCTCCTGAATTCTGCAATGAAATTTTCGAGTCGATTCAGCCGAGACGGCCCGAGTGGAGTTTCATGTAAATGTTTCGTACGGGAAAAAAATCGCGGCCGGGAACCCTGTGTCTAGTTTATGACGTATGCATGCTAACTATAGCGTGAGCGTGACGTTACCAAATAATAAAAATTGTCTATTATAACCAAAATATTAATAACTAAAAGGTTTGAGGGCGTAAATTTCCTTAATACGAATTAAGGGTAGCACCATCTCCTTGCCCTACAAATTACAGCTCCCATTGACGTCTCAGTCGAGAAATACGGGTAGCTCTCGAAAATCTGACTACGAAACCAAATCGAAATTCACGTTCCACTTCTGACTCTTGAGTTGCTTCGCACACGCCGCTGGTGGCGGCATTCCGGGAACCCTGCGTCAAGAGCAAAATAAAATGACAAACACATTAAATAAAAGAATGCAAACGAAAAGTACTGTAAAAAAGATTTCTAGTAGCTTCTGTTGTGCAGTCCAAGTGATTCAAGAGGATTTTTGTAGGTGTTATCTTCTTGTTGATGTAATATAAATTATTTGGTTGCTGGACGTTGAATCAATTTTGTTCATATTCATCTTCCTATAATGGATTCCAAATATTGCGGCAATATTGCATATGTGGAAGTACACGTGATGGGTAAAGTTTATAAAGGACTGTTGAAGAACAATTTCTTGCAAGCCCATAAATTCCAGCATTTTATAGAATTTAAGCCTGTTTTCCACTAGGCGAATTTATTCGCGCGAATCGAAAGCGTCGATTCATGCGCATGCGCATTCATATTCGATCGGAGTTTTGGCGAAGCGAAAATATAAATGAATAAGGCGTTAGAGGACATTTTTCACTTGTTTCGTGTAAATTGTGAGAAATGGTAACACCGTGTAAAGTAATATGTTGGACATTTTCAGATTTTGAAAATTCAATGTAAAACCACTCAACGTAAAAACAGGAGCTTCGAGTGAGCGCTATTTAGATGTTGACATGACTGACTTTAGGGTTCAATGATAGTAGGCCTACATCTTATCAAAGAGAAAATTAAACTGTTCTATTTTCTCTATGATCTGATGGATTTCCAGTGCTATCGATGTCCCCAGTGGAGTCACTATGTTAGAATCTGAACAACTGCACATTGAAAAGAACGTATCGTCTGCGTATTGGGGTTTCAATTCAATTGTAAGTTAATAATACTAGAAATTGCAAATTTCAAGTGAAGTGCTGCGAAGTACAACGGCATATAAATGTTCTTCGAACAAAATTATTTATGCGAGTCAAGTGAAAATAATGATTAATAAAAACATAACAAATAATATGAGACACTACCCATTGTCTATATTAGAACACTTCTCTTTGGGTAACAAAGTCGTAATTTTTCATTTTTGTCAAAAAGTGTCTATAGTGGTGAATTATGGTTTAGGTTTAAGTTTTTTTTAATAAAGTTTCAAAAATTTCTATGTATGTGGAAAATGTAGTTGATTACCAAAGGTTACAATTTTTATTTTGAAGACTGCATGGTCTAGAAAGTGTACATTTTTTTTATGGGGCAAGTTTCCAAGGGCGGGTTTTCTAGGGGCGAGTTGACTGCCAAAGAGTGTTGCCAAAGTGGGAGCCAGCGTGATATTTGATCACAAGTGGGAGACGTCGCAAGTGTGCCAGCGAGCCATGACGTCACGGCAATAGATACGAGACGTTATTCGAGTTGTGCGAGGTATCGGCTGATATTTGTGGAGTACAATTCAAAAAACAACTATAGGTCTAATAATGAATTATTGTGATGTTAAATAGACAATGTTAGCTATCAAGGAGCGACGTTGTTTTTCATTGGGACCTTCGTCCCTTCAAGGCTAGGCCTATACCATCCTAACTAGTCTAGGCCTAGAGTATGATAAGGCTAGCGCGACATGCGGACGTTGGTACGTGTTGGTTAGTCTACAAACGTCGCCTAAACTAATTGATTTTACCCGGCAGAACGAAAGAAGGAAACTCCGCTTTTTAGTGGTCTTAGGCTCTTGTTTTTTGACAACAAATGACCTTTCAGAGGTCAAATTGCTGTCAATAATATGAATTGGCTGCTTCGCAGCAATAAACATTAAATAATATCTGTTCCAACCAAAGCCATAGTGCAGGGGTGGGCATAAAAATCGGTTGGAGGGCCAAAGTGAATTTTTATTTAACACCGAGGGCAGAACCAAACTTTGATGTTGACAGTGTGATTCCAAAAACCGTCATGCACTGCTTTTTATATATACCACTTTATTCTCAGTTTTAACATTACCTTACAGATAATCGGTGTCGGGCCGTCAACAACACCGTGTTTTCTAGTAAAAAAAAAATCACTGTCGGGCCGCATGCGGACGGTGTGTGCGACTGGTGTGTATATTTTTATAAACGACTTTTCATCCCTTTTGTGCCCAGAACCGTAGGGCAACAAACTGTATTTGTATAAATGAGTCAGAATCGGGCACTACCGGCAACTGCAAGTACATAATCTCAACATCGCACTATTTTAAATATGTTAATCAATATGGACGTGATATTATTCGTGCCACCTTTGCACGATATATAGCACGACCCATGCAATGAACTATTAATTATTCTGCAATTTGTGTAGGTCCGATTTGTCCATAAGTTATTTCAATGACTGAGAGAATAAATATCAGGCATAAAATGTTTTAAAATAATGGGAAGTAAATCGAAATATAAAACATATAAAGAATCCTGAAATACACGTACTGATTATTATTAGGCCTATTATTATTTTTGTTTTATTGAAATATATAACTATTACAAAATTAAAAATTAAATTGTAATATAAGTAAAAATAACCAAAGAAAAAACCTTTTTCCCCAGTTTTTAAATATTCAAATATCTGTATTTTTGAAACAAACTCTTTTCGTTTCAGCATATTGCTGTTATTGCGATGAATCAAATCAAATTAAAAGTATACTTAATAATAATTATAATAATAATAATAATAATAATAATAATAATAATAATAATAATAATAATAAAACAATTATTATGCGCCATGACTTCAAAATAAATATCAAAGGCCCGAAAGTATACATAGGGCATGAATTGAATAAAGTAGTAGAGTAATAAATAGAAACGTAAAAAGACAATGTGGATATGAACGGGAACAGATTAGAAAATAATAGTAACAGACAAAAATACCAACAACAAAATAGGTATTCTCTCGTCTATTTTTGGCCTTGCACTGTACTGAAGTTGCAGTCAGAGTGAATAAACTTAGTGAACAAAGAATGAGCATGGATGTAAGTATTAATTGAACAATTTTATTGTGTTGATAAACATACTGTTAAAATCAAATACAATAAAATAAGCAAAGTTTTAAAATAGAATCCAGTTACAAACAATCATAAAAATGACATCGTATAAATATATTTTAAAGAAGACGTAAGCCAAAGCCAAAGTGACATCATGAGGTCGCTTTAATGAATACGGTACGCCAACTAAGTTATTGCTAAAACCGTCGCTCACATCACGAACTAACACAATAGTAGATTGTGTTAGTTCGTGAAATCACAGTAGCGCGTCAAAACGAGCGCGTATTGGTTGTCAAGCATTTTTGTATTCTTTACCACACAAAAACTCCTTAACGACAACAGCGCGTATTTTGACGCGCTTTTTTGATTTCACGAACTAACACAATTGAATTTAATTGTGTTAGTTCGTGATGTGAGTGACGAAACGTTTAAATACTATATTGCACCAAATTTAGTGTTTGTTGAATTGTGTTTGATATGCGGTGGTTTTAGGCAAATATTTATATTCTCTTATAACGGTTCTCGCTCCTAGTAACATCATCCCCATCATCATCATCATCATCAACATCATCATCATCACATATCATCATCATCATTATCATTATTAGTTTATACTCCATGGTACAATCGCTTAAAACCTCAGCGTTTCTCTGTTGTTTAGAGAGTCTGGATTAGGCCTTTATGGTAATAGGCGAAAAACAAGTCAACATTAAAAAGTGTCATATTTGTGTCGCGTTCTGTGAAGGTAGTGTTTTATCTTCTATAATATTCAATTTCGCATAACAATCTTTAGTTTCGTCTCTCCTTGTTTGTTTCGTATTTGTATACTGAAACCTTTCAACTGCACACATTTTCTGCCATATTAGAGTACTTAAGGATAGTATGCAACAAATAAAGAACATTCCAGAACACGCGTAGAGTGCAGACTCGTAAGAACCAGTTAAATCGTAACTGTAACCTGAGAAGAAGAAAATAAAACAAACAGAATGTTAAAGTAATAATTATAGATTCATTCATCATTTTACAGTTATCTGGTCATTATTACTTCTCCGTTGTGTTGAAACCTAGCGATTTGTTACCGTGCTGATATTGTTACACTACCGATAACCAAGGCAGTCGATCCGTGGTTTAAAGTGGGATGGGGGGGGGGGGTCGAAATGAAAAATGAGCCTGGGCCGTAGCTCTGGCGCATATACCCTTTTAATTGATTTTAAGCAATGCAATAATCATTTATTTCCATACGAAATTTTCAAAATATCCAGTGGCGGATCCAATAATATGAAATAGAGCTGGGCCCAGAGAGGGACTTTTACAGATGGAGATTGTAGACTACCTCAGCCCCACCATGGTTGTTGCTTAGGTAAGAAAATTTATGATTATGGCACCTCTAGTTGGTCGGAAATGGCACTCTCAGACTTAATTTGAATATAATTTTAATTTATTTTCCAATTTTAATTTCGAAAAAACAAAAATAGGGATGGTTGGCCGGCTGGGCATCAGGACTAGAGAGGGAGCACACAAAACATTAGCGCATTTTGATTTCACAAACATAAAGGTGATTTACTTAATTTATCATTATCAGTGGCGGCTCAAGGAAAGCAAATTAGAGGGGGGACAGGGAGAGTCTTGCACAATTAGATCACCTCAGCCCCACCATGGTTGGGGCTAAGGAAAGAAAATTTATGATTATGACACCTCTAGATTGCCGGAAATGGCACCCTCAGACCTAAATTCTAATTATTATTTTTCTTTGTTTTTTTCCATTAAAAAAAAAATAATAAAAAAAGAAATAGGGTCGGCTCGGCCCCACTTGAATCTGCCTCTGATTATTATGACGTCATTGCGAGATTGCGTCAACTTAACACTGGAGTTTATAAACTGTTGGTAGGCCTATCACTTAATCGAAATAGATAGACATATCCGTGTCAAAGGCTGTATAATTCTTGTTTAATAATGGCTATATAAAATTCAATTGACTAACTATAATTTTTGAAATTAGGAAAAACAGAAATCCTATGTGTGTAGATAATATTAAACACTAGCATAACGTACGGGTCATAATAATATACAAAAGGAATAAATCGTTTATATTAGAAATTGTACACTTTTGAGTTTGTAAAAATATTGGCCTAAGATATACACGCTTCCAATTTTAACAACGTTCAGTACATTGTTTTCACAATAAATTTAGCCTCTGATAACCGTTGCACCCATAAAATCGATCTAGTGGTTCCTGAGATGGTTACGAAATGTAGGCCTACCGTATAAACAATTGCGTTTTTACTCGGTTTTGGTCCGGAAAATACGTACCGCACTTAGAAAAGTGAACAGACAAAATTCATGAGTCATGCGTAATTGTTATTCTTTCCATTCGCTTTTAAAAGTGGGGATTTAAATATAGAAGATTGGTGAAAAGTGTGGTGGCGGTGGGGACAATCGATATGATATCCCCCTACTTTGAAAAGTGGGGGGGGGGACGCGTCCACTGTCCCCCACCGATCGACGCCCATGCCGGTAACTGTTATTGTTACTATCATTATTAGGCCCACGTAGGCCTATAGACTTGAGAGAAACACGGTGTATAACGAAGACGTCATGCTTGAGAGGACAGACCGTGCGTAGGGAGCCAAGAGACGTGGTGCTTGAGAGGACAGACCGTGCGTATAGGGAGACGTGATGCTTGACAGGACAGACCGTGCGTAGGGAGGCGTGATGCTTGAGAGATCAGGCCGTGCTTAGGGAGGCGTGATGCTTGAGAGATCAGGCCGTACTTAGGGAGACGTGATGCTTGAGGACAGACCTGAAGCCATGGTGCTTGAGAGGGCACACCATGCAAAGAGATACGTGATGTTTAATGAAAGGCACATCGTGGATAGGGAGGCGTTGGTGCTTGAGAGGGTACACCGAGTGTAAGGAAGACGTGAAGCTTGAGAGGACACACCGTGCGTATGGAGACGCGATGCTTGAGAGGGCATACCACTTGGGTACTGAAGCTATGATGATTGTGAGAGCACAACGTGGATAGAAAGACATTATCTTTAAAATAGTGTTTTGAAAGAGGCATGTATTGTTGGAAGGATACGATGCTGATCTTCGGTTAACTTGTTGACAAAAACACCTAATATTCAGAAAGTGAAGGTATTATTAGGCTTACTCACCACCGACTAAAGCTGCGAAGAGGAAACCTAATCCACAAGGTGCACTAGCAATAGTTGATGTACTCGGGCGATATCGATGACCAAACAGCTCTGCAGCCACACCCATCCCGGTACTGTTGAATACAGCTTTCATGAGACCAAGAACTACGTGGATCAAGAAATTATATTTATCAACAAAAAGGTAAAAATTGCACTTTATTCTGAAATGATACGTTTATTTAATATTGACATTATGTTGCATAGGTGTTAAGTTGTAGTTTGGTTGGTAAGATGTTTGCCTTTTAATCCTACTACAAAATTGGCAATTTTACTTGCTGATGTTATGAATGAGTGTGGGAAAATAGAACTAAGCTGTAGAATGAAATTTAAACCATCATTACATGGTCAACTAAGACAGTATCGTACGACGCAGTCCGATGCGATGTATCATCGTGGCTGGTGTGTGTGTGGGGGTGTGTGTGGGTGTGTGAATACAGACGCGTAGATTTGTCGTAATACTATGGACAGTCCTGTCGTGGATTATTGAACATGTTTAATATTCTCACGACGACCTGGGGCTATCCCCGACGATAAGCCGCGTAGACGCGACGGCGCTGTCTGGGTTGTCCTTTAATCATCATCATCATTCTTCATCATGACCGTGGTCATTAATTACGCCTACAATCGAATTTTCAGTAGGCCTATATCTCAATGTATAAATATAACGCACGTTATACCGTAGAGGAATGCCTCATTTTCCACCAGTAGGTGGACCATACAATAGGCCTACTGACTGACCACATAATAATAATTCGCATAATTAGGCCTATTGGTTACCTGTTGATACTATCAGCAATGCTTTAAATGAATTAACATAGAGTATTAAAACACAAATCACTGAAGACACTATACAAGCGTTCGGCCAAATCAGTATCTTCGGAAATGGTAGTTTATCCAAAAATAGCGCTAAAATAATTTTTCCAACCACTTCGGCTCCACCGTTTACACTTAATACTAAAGCGCCTTGCTCAAGAGTGAATCCGCTCTTTGTCGCAAAATCCACCTTTTGAAAAAAAAATAATATGACAGAAATTAACATAACACACTAATTTAGCCACGCAAGAAGAAGCAGAAGGACAAGGAAAAGAAGGAGTCAGAGAAGGAGAAAGAGGAGAAGAACAATAAGAGCAAGACGAAGAACAAGAACAAGAAGACAAACAAAATGAAAAAGAAGAGCAAGAACAAAAACAAGGAAGAGGAGAACAAGAACAATAAAAAGAACAAGAAGACAAACAAGAAGAAGAGGAAGCAAAAGAAGAAAAAGGAAGAAGAAGAATAATAACAACAATAACAACAACAGCAAGATAAACAAGAAGTACAAAGAGTAGGACAAGAAGAAAATTAAAAGAAGAATAGAGAGGAAGAACTAGAACAATAAGAAGAAGGAAAGAACAAGACGAAAGCAAGAAGGAGAAGAACAAGAACAAGAGGAATAAGAGCAAGACGAAGGAGGAGGAGGAAAAAGAAAAACAACATCAACAACAACAAGAACCACAAGGAGAGAAAGAAGAAAAAGAAGAGGAAGAACCACAAGGACAAGAAGAGGAAGAACAAGAACAAGAACAACAAAAAGCAAAACAACAACAACAACAGCAAGCACAAGAGAAATGCAAGAAGAAGGACAGAAAGGATGATAAGAAGAAGAAGAGTTAGATACTTGGTGTCTTGATAATATTACCACAGTAAGTAACGTACATACTATGGGCCCAACTTGAGGTACATTTTCGTAGTTATTCGCAAGTTGGGATCACAATGGCGCAAAAAATGGAAAATATAAGAGAGGGTTTTCAGTAGTAGTAGTAGAAGTACTAGCAGTAGTAGTAGTAGTGGTAGTAGTAGTAGTAGTAGTGGTAGTGGTGGTAGTAGTAGTGGTAGTAGTGGTGGTAGTAGTAGTAGTAGCAGTAGTGGTAGTAGTAGTAGTAGTAGTAGTAGTAGTTCATAGGCCTATAGCAGTGTAGTAGTAGTAGTTCATAGGCCTAAGCAGTGTAGTAGTAGTTCATAGGCCTATAGCAGTTTGGTATAAAGCCCACTTATAAGCATGTTTCGAAATATTACAAGCAATTAACATGTAGGCCCTATAATGTCTTAGCTTACAAGATTGATCATTGTAAATCCTTGGGCACAGCTCACTATCACAAGCATTGTTGCAAATATCCACATTTCTGGAAAATATAGGACTTCACGCTGAGAGACTTCAGAAGCTGCCTCGCCGTCTTTACTATCAGTCTGTTTGGAATCTGTGGTGGTATCCTGGGTCTTAGTTAGTGTTACGTAGAGTAAAGTTGCAGCGATCAATGCCACTATAAATACAAAACCTGAACATATTCGAAAAGTCCATCTCCAACCGACGTGCGTTAACACAGTTTCTATAAGTGGACTCAGCGTCAGAAGTCCTGTTTTTTAAAATGAAATTGAAAGAAATACAATGAGGTGTGTTAAAATGCAACTGAGGCATACGGTATGTATTGAGCATCGTTGCAATTAATTGCAATCCCTGCGTAGCTGTATAAGGTCCACAATCGAGAATTTTCCCGGATTTATGAATTTTAATTTGCCTCCGGCTTTTCCACCAGAAAATCGCTATCGAGTATTATATAGCTGTCTTGGACGGGGGTAGGCATACAATTTTTGATGGAAACCTAGATTAGGTACATATAAGCCTTAAGCATAAAAGGGTAAGTATGTAAGTATGGGGAAGAGTAAATGCATAATTAACGTGGCGACGGTAGGTTCGGAACTGTGTGGGAAAGGAGTGCATGCATATGCGAAGAAGAGAAATGTATAAGTCTAGAAGGAAATCATTTTGTGTGTTTGAAATGTAAGTGCGTAATTTTCGGATGTAGGGTCGTGAGCGTATAGGCCTAATATGTGTGCCGCGTGTAAGTGTGCAAAAGAGTATGTGTCTGTGTATTGTGATGAAGGCTAATGAGTATGTAGGAGTTGGTTGGTGAATGAATGTATGGGAACTCTACTTGAAATTTTTTAATACAGAGATCCCAAGTTTGAAAACCAAAAAATAGGGAGATTTTTTCGTGAAGCGATCGCCTCCTGTAGCGACGCGCTGTGACGCCTTACCACGCGCTGTGCAACATGAAAGTATTACACAAAATGAAGAAAACAAACAATTTTCATTAATTTGTTTACTTTTATTTAACAATTTTACATTTGTTTACACATTGCAGTTGGCCTATATAAATTTATAAATATTATTATTTATTTAGAATTTTGCTAGTAAAGCATTCTTGGCAGCAGTCAACAAGGCTTTGCTTGGTTTATTGGCATATTAGATTCTATGGCTGATTTACTACATCTCTTCAAAGAACATAGAACTGCAACTTGCAAGATCCACACGTTTGCTGAAAAATTAAAAAATAAATATATATTTTAATTTAGTTAGTAAATCATACTACATGTTTTAAGTCAGCATTTATATATGTCTAGCCTATACTAATTGGTACATAATGCCATAAAAAAACATTAAATCCTGGCTCACTAGGCTCCATCTGTACGTGCGTAACTAGGCCTAAGGCCGCAGAGTCACGACCACCACTACACACAGACGCCCACTCAACACAACACACATACCCTGCTGTGCAGATAGAGCCTAGGCCTACATGTATTTCGGGATTGATATTAAAATAAACTTCATTTTTCGGAAGACTATTTAGTACCAAAACCTACTATGATTTTTTTAGTATTGTTATTAAAGAACTGAAGCTTACTTGAAAGAAAAAGTATTTTTTATGCACAGCTGATTCTACAAAGTTCCAAATCTTCGCGGCGAAAAAAACTTGGGGCATCCATTCCATCCCATGTGATTTCTAATTTCGTTAATTTGTTGAAATTTATTTACTCAACTGACAGCCATCTCATTGATTGAGGTCGGCGCGGATGAGAAAGATCGTAACATGGAGGATAAACAAGGCGATTCTACCACGGACATTTTAAGGCTGAGCGAGCGCCATAGTATATTGGCTTAAGATAAGAAATTTTGTTTCATTGCTCTATGACATCGTGGAAATCACATTTTTCGTGAAATTTTCGGGATATTTAAAAAAAGCGGGAGATTATTAATAAAAATCGGGAGGGCGGGAGACGGCCTCAAAAATCGGGAGAAACCCGCGATTTTCGGTAGACTTGGGATCTCTGTTAATATACCTACTCTCTAAATGAATTTCAACAAACAACAGGGGCCTATAACAACAATTTGGGTATAGGCACTTCTAACTACCTTAAATAGAATCAAATTCATCGTATATGTGCAAAAAATAACCGCACCATTGGACGTGTTCGTTGAAACTTGAAAACATGTAATAAGAAATTTAATGAATTAACTAACTTGCCCCATGTAACTGCTCTATCGGATCCATATTGCTTAAACATACCTATATAAGTTTTTATTTAGATGAGCTTTAGTTTATCATTAATAATAATTATTATTATTAATAGGCCTAATTATATTACATAATATTATTATGTTTTATTATATTAAATTACATTATCGAGTTGATTGGCCGAGCGGGTCGAGTTGATTGGCCGAGCGGTTAAGTCAGGGGCACCATGACCTTTAGCTCTAATATCGGCGTTGGTTCGAACGGCTCACTCGCCAATGGTTCCGGTGGTGGAACAAGTCTTCTGGGATAAGGACTTTAAACCGTAGGCCCAGTGTACGCATTTGGCTCGTGTGCACTTTAAAGAGCCCGGTACATCATTCGAGAAGAGTAGGGGGTTACCCCGGTGTACTGGTCCATTAAGTCCCCTGTTGTTAAATGGATATGCCACGTAGGACAGTGATTAAGTTCACTTATTGGCATATCCTTGGCCCTCGTGCCTAAAGAAATGAAATGAAATGAAATTATATTCAATATTGCATTTTATTAGACCTATATTAGGCAATTAGAATAGTTGCGTATAATACACTAGTGGAAATTTATTATACGAAGGTTAGATTAATGCAAGAAAAAATAAAAAATTATTCTAATCTAAGTCTAATACATTTTTCCTAGTGTATATATAAGCACTATTCTACTTGCTTTGATAAGTAAATCGGCGTGTTTAATCTTAGTTTTATAAAACTGTTGTAGTCAATGGTTGATATAGTGATATAATAAGTATAGTGTGTGCTAGGTATGAAACATTAGCCTAGAATTCATCAAGGTGCGCGAGTGTACAAGTTGAATTGGTCTTTTGTGCACGAACTTAAAAAAGACCAAGCCAATTACAGTATTTTGAAGGGGATGAGCAACATCTTGCATGACGAGTGAAGTCATTCAAAAATATATTTTCTTTAAGGATTCTACCTCCTTGGTTAATCACTCTCTGGAACTTTACAACATCCTTTTGTCTGAGATTTCCGAACCATGGGCCCTACTTTAAACAACATAAAATTTTGCACTTACAATTACGGATGTTTAAAAAAAAGCCTGGGGCTGAGGTACAACATTTTATGGCTATGGCACCTTTAAAAATTGCCTGAAATGGCACTCTCACAATTTAACTTTCTTCTTTTCCGAGCCATTAAATTCGTCTCTGATATTAACTTACCTATAGTTGAGCCAATCGTGGCTAATCCCGTAGCTCTCATTCTACTCTGAATTGGTACCCATTCTAGAACCAATTGTAAAGCCGGTTTTGTTGATATAGCAACTGTTATCCCTACACCAATGCCGTACGTAAGATAGAGGTAACTGACGGACGGGACGACAGAGCTCAACAGCAAACAAATTGCATACGAAATCGTCGCTGTTGTGATGACGCAGAAAAACCCAAATCGGCGAACTAACATCTGTCCAAGTATTGAGAAAAGTTGACTACAGGCCAGGCAAAGGGACTGAACCCAGCCTACAGATATAAATTCATTGAATCATATGTAAACAATAAAATAATGGTGATAATGATGGTGATAGTGATTATGATGCTGCTATTTGGAGCCGAAAACATTATAAAAATGATGATATTGATAATGATGTTGGTGGTGGTGGTGGTGGCATAATAGGTAGTTTTCGGCGGATGACGACGTTAAAGTCGTCCCCCTAAAACTAAGTATTATAATAATAATAATAATAATATTTATTCGGCAGAGTAAAAAGTATACATACAATATTCTTGCCAGGAGTAAGTAATAGACATAAGCCCAAACAGTAAGCTGCTCTTACTCCATCATCAAAAACAAATACAATGACAATACAATATAAATATATACAAAAAAGTAAATTCAAAATAAATTGATTTAACTAAAACAAAATGAAAAACAGATAATTAATAGTTATTATTAGTATTAATATTTTGAGATCAAGTGTTTTGTGAGCTGGGCTTTAAAGTAAGAAATGGATGTGCATTGTTTAATTTCATTAGGAAGTTGTTCCCATAATCTAGGAAAAATAACAAAAGATGAATTTAAGAATGTATTAGTCTTGGCTTTCCAATGTATTAATCGCCCTTCACACCTTTCACTTGATCTCACAAGATTATTAAACGACAATGGACATTGTCCATGCATTATTTTAAAACCTAACGTTAGTCGATATACTTTAAAAATATCCTCCATGCTTAAAATATTCAAAATCCTTAATCTATATAAATATGACGTGTCCCAATTCCCTGCTTGCCTTATTACTAACATAATTCAAATGAGAATGACATGATAACTTATTGTTAATATAAACACCAAGTAGTTTAAATTCAAGGACTCTTTCAGTTGTTTCAAAATTTATACTATAGTCCCATATAAGAGCTGTCTCTTATACACATCTAGATGTGTATAAGAGACTAACAATAGACCATTCAACAATCCTATTTAAATCACCCTGAAGCCTAATACAGTCGTCTATTCCATAAATAGGTCTTGAAATCGTATTGTCATCAGCGAATTGAAAAATTGAAGATGTTATACCATATACCATGCATATTAATAATAATGCACACGAAACATGGTGCACTATTGAAACTTGCATTTCAGAGCCCCGACTTAAAAAAAACCAATGGAAATAATAATTTAATAATAATAATGATAATGATGATGATGATGATGATGATGATGATGATGATACCAATCAGCTTAAATAAAATAAAAAAAGATGATGATAATGACCCTGACATAGGCCTACTACGAATGGACCAAATGCAATTCTACATTTCAGATTTACATTAATATAAAAGTAGTTGTGTATTGCCGTACGAGTGCTTTCGATTGCACGACGACGGTATGACCAAGAACGTAATGACGTGCCTATAGAAGTCATCTGCGCATGTGAGAACTTTGAGTACTCATTGTCGTCTCGATTCTTATCTAGGACGCAATTTGGCCCGAATCTACGTTATACAGAAAACGTAACATGCCGCGGTCACTGGAATGCGTAAACCTGTTCTAGAGTTAAGTCGTCGCGCAAACACAGGTAGCATACTGAGACTAAAAGATTAAATATTTAAATTATTCAGCTCAAGCTTTTGCTGGCAGTAATATAGTTGTCACTGACTACCAGCGAAAGCTCACGTTTTCATTAAATATTTTTAAACATTATCAGAGTTATAGCATTCGCGAACGTAAATATTGTTGTTTGTTTATGTCGTCGGGGACTAAAGGTTAACAACGTTACAACAACATTTTCAACGTTTTGTAGTCGAATTATGTTATAAATACGTATTTAACGGTTATACAAACAAATGTCAAATAGAAATCAAAGTATGTAATAATTATTGATTAGCTGCACTAATATTCATTGCTGGAATGAAATTTTAATATTCACACACAAATAAGGGAAGACCTGATCAGTCATCATCATCTCAGTCGGCAGCAGAGCAAGCGACCACAAGTTTTCTCCAGTTTTTGCGATCTTGGGCCTTTGAGATGATTTGGTGTGGCTGCATATCACCCAAAAGCCGCTGGATATATTGTAAAAACAGAATGCGCTGGCGACCAGGTTTTCTCTTTCCTGATTAGTATAATGCTTCTTTAATTCGAATCGAAATGAGAGATTGAGTCAGATTTTAATGAATAGTATATAAATTATTTTATTGAATAGTATATAAATTATTTATCGCAGGCCTATTTGTAACACACTAACTGGTGGAGGTTCCACAAGAAATTTAATTCAATACTGTATTTAAATTAATTATTGTGTATTCCACAATAATCATTAAAAAAAGTGTGCTTTTGTCTGGACAAATATAGTATAATTAGTTAGAGGCAGCAGTAGTAGTACGCCTAGTAGACAGCAGTTGTAGCAGTAGTAGTGCGACGATTGGAGTAGACATGTAGGCCTATGCAAAAAAAAAAAACGTATTTGTGAGATTTCACTTGACGTTACCTGTAACAACTGCTGATGTGTGAAACTCAGCTTGTATAGCCCCGAAAAACACTCCATATGAGTAGACAATGCCGTATGTGCAATAGCCAATCCCAATGCTGATACCAGTTACAACCCACCACCATTGACGTTCCGCCTTCATTTGTAACTCTAAACTTGTGTACTGAAATAAATTATATTTATTAAAATATAGGCTGCAATAGTAAAAATTTATGCCTTACGAGCTACGTGTAGACAACCAGAATAAAAATACATCGTAATCGTATTTATTTTTGCAGGTAAACGGACAAAGTCTGCAACAGATCGCTTAGATAAGCCCCGCCCCTTGGATATTGTAACTAAAAGGGACGCAAAGCAGACACGCGTTTGAGGGACAGGCGCGTGTTGATTGACATTATCGAATGGTCTATTCTTAGATGAATTCAGCCTGCAGTGATTGTGTCGTTGTGGGAACTTTCTGACAATAGACATAAGTCTTTTTTATATTGTATGTCTGTGTCTTTTTCAGCAGGTACATATCTACTATTGTCACTTCATTTAATAGGTAAAATAAAATACATAATTAAATATGGGTATGCGTCACGACAATTACAAATTGTCAAGGAAATTTACAAAAGAAAACACATTATCTTCTGCTTATACAAAATTGACAATTTAATAAACAATAATTTACCTGGTGTACCTTGGGAAATATTAACGTTGAAATTGACTTATTAAACTAAAAATAATAAATAACTGTATCTTACACCACAGTGTAGTTGTCTTACATATTGATTTCGTTTTGCTTGAAGTTACAGATTTGATGGATGACTTAAAAGATTAAAATATTAGAATGCTGATCTTGCTGGTGGTACTCTTACAAAATATTCATATAATCGGAGGGCTCTCTAATTTTATAACTCTGTGATGTTATACAAAATGTGTGACTAAATTACATTACAGTGGGGGAAAGTCCTGCAGCTGAAGTGGTTTTGAATCTCTATCTGTGAAAGTTCATCAGACCCATACGCAGAGGTTTAATCGGTGGGTGCGAATTTGAAGAGAATGGACCAAAATGGCTTCAATAGTGGCCGTCTATGGGGAAAACCATGCTAGAATCGAAGGGGCGGAGCTCAGGCATTTTTTTAATAATTTGAGGTTTTATTTAATCGAATTCTGAAGATGCATGTATTAAACGGTGTTCAGTGACGGATCCATGATTTTGAAGAAGAGGCCAGGGAGGGACTTTCACAGATGGCGGAGATACCATCTCAGCCCCACCATGGTTAGAGATGAGGGAAGAAGAAAACTTATGATTATTGCACCTCCAAACGGCCGGAAATTGCACTCATACAATTTGAATGTCATTTTTTCCCCAACTATTTTTCTTTTTAATTAAAAAAAAATAGGTGGACGGGACGACTGGGAATCCTTGGATACTGCCCATTGTCAGTGGCGGATTTAGGAAGTTGAAATAGGAAGGGCAAGAGAAGGACTTCCACAGATTGAGGGTATATATACCTGAGGTAAGAAACATTTTGATTATGACACCTCTAGATGGTCGGAGATGGCACTCTCAGACTTTGAATATAAATTTCTTTTCTTTTTTTTTAGATAATTTTGACAAATTTAGGGAGGGGGAGGGGATGGAGCACCACCATCACTGCTTTGTACGATGAATTAAGAGGCGGTCCTAGTTGGAAAGTGGATTGGTCAAGGAAGTTTAATGGATGGGTTTCTGGAATGTGCGAGAGTGAGTTTTGAATTTCTATCCTGAAAAATGTAGACCTGTCGAACTCCCCCCCCCCCTTCCCGGCGTATGGACCTGTTTCTCCTTGAACCCCCTACATCCCTCTCATACCATACGAAAGGCGGTGCGCTACCGTATTAAAGCCTGCATTTTCAGCCATCCGGAAAAAACGTATTGAGTCACTATTATAATTTGTTTACATATTGAGCGTTTTTGTTATATTGTTGTGACTAAAATATATGTTGAATAGTCCTTGAATTCATGCTTCTGCAGTTCAGATTTAGGCGAGTTTAACAGACCATAGGACTCAAGCGATTTAAATATTTTCTCACAATAGTGAAGCAATAATCAGATGTTTTTTGTATATCGGGGGCAGCAACTTTTCGTAGGACGTGATGAAATAAACATAATAATAAAAGGAAGCAATACATACCGCCGAAACCTACCTACTTATTCTCCTGGATTTATTGAATTGTTCATTGGAAAAATCGGAAATGGCATTGTAGATCATAAAGGCAAAACAATAAGCCAATTCGTATAGGCCTATTAAACGGCTAGCAGTTATTTTTATTCTGGGAGCCTGATCGAGGCTCTAGTCGGCCACTTGGTTGGGGCCACCTTGTCGGACACGATCCCCTGTCAGGAAATTTCTGGAGCAATCGCTGGCCCAGGAGCCAACCGAAATCTGGCTTTAGGGTTTTACAAGGGGTTATCAATTTTACAGAAAAAATAGAATTTTTATTTTTCCCCGACGGGGAGAGCTGCCACACCCCCCCCTCCCAACTCCCACACACCGGTCGAGGGATGTTAATATCATACAATACTTTGATAGTAATAAGAACTGAAACGAAATTCAGGAATTATGTCGGATATGGGCCTATGTCTAGAAACCAATTTACCAACAACCCTGCAGGCACCGGTCAATGTTGCCCTTTACAAGTATAGCCTGGTTGTAAAACTGCTGAAATGAACTTTAGCGGTAAAAACGTAAATGAAAATTAATTTTTGGTTTTTCCGAATCAGCATATCCTATAGTGTCTCAGAAAAAAAATCCCCATGCCTAGGGCTTAGGCAATTTTTTTTTACAGCACTTTGAAAATTTGGCATAAAATACCGGTACCCTATTTTAAACTATTTAAGATGGGAGTAGGGGAAATAAATTTATGTTTTTGGTCACTTTTACATATACTGTGGATATGAAATGTAACAACAACTTGGCTATATAGTTACTCATCACTCTCATTAAAATATTTGATCGGAATGATGACGTCATCATGACAAATTTCAAGATGACGTCCATTATTATGATCTAGATGTGTATAAGAGACAGTATATATACTTAATGAACTACTACAAAATTAACTCAACGAAAAAACGAAATAGTGAAATTTTGCTTTAAAATACCAATTTTTGGATCGGGGTATGGGAAACATGTTTATATTTTTAGTCACTTTTAGGGTTTTTTTTCTATAACTGTGAAAACTGACAGGACCTTAGTTAAATACTTGCCCATTATAGTAGTTCAGTGGTGGCCCCAGGGGGTCTGATGGGGTGGATCCAAACACAGGTCCGACTAGACCCTCGGTCAGAGTCCCGGAAAAAAAAAACATCCTTGGGCTTATGGAAGAGTTTTTTTGGGGTTTTTTTTAGCTTAGTATGGCCCAAAATTTTGCTTTTAAGCTAAAGTATTAGGGATTGGCAATCAAAATAATGTTTTATGGATAAGCAAATCATTATTTGTGGTGTGGCGACCTCGTCGTGGCATAGGACGATGGGAGTCTAGGCCTGTCTGACGGGAATTCCCCACCTCCCAAGCAAATTTTGAATGATGACGGCAACACACCAAATTCCAAGACTACGACAATCAAAATTAAAGGAAATGTTTACCTATTTAAATTTAACCTTTCTACACTACATCTTCCTCATTGTCATCCCCATCCTCATTATAATCCCCATTATAAGGAGGATGTTTACAGATGATGATGAGAAGAAAGATGATGAGGATGATGGTGAGGAAGAAGTTGATGGTGATTATGATTGATGATAATGGTTGTTGATAATAATGATTGTGATGATGATGATGAGAATGACAAAAATGATTAATGAGAATGATGATGATGATGATGATTATGATGATGAATGACGAGAATCATCCCTCTCATCCTCACCATCGTCCTCATCTTCATTCTCGTCCTCGTCCTCATCTTCATTCTCATCCTCCCCCTCATCATCATCATCATCATCATCCTCATGATGATGATGGTGACTGATGATGAAGAGGATAATGATGAAAATGATGATGGTAATGATGATAATGATGATAATGATGATGATGATGATGATGATGATGATGATGATGATGATGATGATGATGATGATGATGATGACAGTAATCAGGATGATGATGAGGATGACGATAATGAGGATCATGGTAATGATGATTATGATTATGGTGATGAAGATAAGAATGATGATGAGGAGGAAGAGGATGATGCGGTTGATGAGAAGGAAGATGATGCAGATGAGGTAGATGATGATTGATAATGATGAGGAAGAGAATGATGCCGATAAGGATAGTGAAAATAATGATGATAATAAGGAGGAGGATGATGAGTTTGATGATGATGAAGATAAGGATGATGATGATTATGATTGATGATAATGGTTGTTGATGAGGATCGTGATAATGATGAGTATGATTGATGAGAATGATGTTGATGAGGTTAATGATGACGAATGAGGAGAAACATCCCCTCATCCTCATCTTCATTCTTGTCGTCCTCCTCCTCTTCATCATCATACTAATTATGAGGATGATGGTGATAATGTTGATTAATAATGATGATGATGATGTGGTTGATGATGATGAGGACAAGGATGATGATGGATGATGATGATAATTGTAATGAGGATGATGATGAGGATGATAATAACAATGATGATAATTATGAGGACTATGATAATGAATGATGAATGAGTGATGATGATAAGGAGGATAAGAATATGAGGTTGATGATGATGAGGATAATGATGGATAATGAGGATGATTAGTAGGATGAAGGTGGTGATGGTGATAATGATAACGATGATTGGTGAGGATGGTGATGAGGGTTACGATGATGGATGAGGATCAATGCCATAGCCAGGATTTTCAAACGGTGTGGGACATATCAGGGTGGACCCACTTTACGTGTACATTTAAACAATGTGGACTGGACCGATTTTACGCAAACATATGAAATATCTGGACTCATTTTCTTAAATTGTACACATTTTTAGCTAAATATGAGAATTCTGCATATTTTATGCATAAGAAATTACATAATTTGGACCCATTTTTAAAATGTGGACATTTTTTTTGTGGACCCATTAGAAAAATGGTGTGGGACTGTCCCAACTGTGCCAATAGCTGGTTACGCCATTGATGATGACGAGGATGATGATAAATGAAGATGAATATGATGATGAGGATGATGATAAATAAAATGGTGAAAGATGAGCAGAATGAAGATTATGAGGATGATGATAACGACGATAGATGCTTGATGATGACGTGATGAAGATGAGGACGATGACGATGGATGAGTATAATGTGATGATGATGATGATGATGATGATGATGATGATGGTGATGATTACAACGATCGATGACAGTAAGGATGATTATGATGATTAGACAACAATGAGAATGATGATGACGAATATGATGAGGATGATGATGACGGATGATGATAATACTGTAATGATATCAATAGTGGTAATAAAAATATTATAAATAATATTATATAACGGTACTAACAATGTAATGCATTTCAATAATACAATATAATTTTGAAATAACAAGAATACAATATAGTAATATATAGTACAGTATAATAATATTTAATAATGATTTTAACAATAATAAATAAGCATAATATTGCTATTAAAATACTTTTTTCCCTCTAATTTCCTACTGCTAATTCCTAACGTAACAGTAACAAATTGACATTTACTACTTACATTATCTTACCTTATAAGATAATATACGAGCAGCAATGCAAGGCTATATTGGACAATGTTCTGGCCACTATGAAATACCGTCCTAGCCTTGTGACTGATGACACAATACTATGTAAATCATAATACGCACTATGAGAAAGTGAACAAGAGACGTTGCTTGTGAATAAACTAATTTTTGTACTGTATGGAATAACAGGTTTAAGCTACGTTCACATCAAGCCCGGATTCCGGTACGGAGTCCGGAGAAAAAATCGTGAGAAATGGCTTTAGTGGTAAGGAATAGAAGCGTTCACATCTACACAGTCCGATTTTTTCCCCGGACTCCGGATTCGGATCAATGGATCAGAAAGCCATTGGAAACGTGAATCCGAACGGATTTTTATTTCTGACCAATCAGCGATAAGCGTGAATGACCCTCTGAACTGAAACACCTCGAAAAAAGTCAGCGCGAGAAAAGATACTGTGTGCCGTGCCGGGATTTGTTTTTTAATTTTATGCTGTATTTTAGGCGTAACTTGTATCACACATCAAACAACAGATTCACTAAAAAAGATAAGTATATTTCTAGTTTTCTTATTAAAAATAAAGTTAAATGAACTTCTCTCAGCTCTCTATATCTCTAGCCTAGGCCTAGTCTAGAGTCTGAGAGAGCGTTTATCCGGCCCAGCCTAGGGGCCCTACTAGACTAGCTTAGCTAGGCCTAGTAAAAAAACACGACAGCAGCAGTTGCTAGCCAAGTTGCGCATTTCCTGCAGACAGACGACAGACCCCACGGCACTAGCCTAGGCTTCATTCCTAGTGATAATAGAGGGGTGAAGTGAGGGCCTATCGTC